TCGACCCAGTTCCTTCAACTTCTAATGACAAAGGCAAACAACCTGAAGTTCCTATACCACTAGTCAAAAATTATGGTAAAGATGAAAGCTTCGACACTACAGAAAACTTGCTTAGAACTAACGGCCATACTAATATTATCAACTTTGCCTGTGAAGACGACTCTCCCCTTTTCTTTGCCTACTGCGTTAGCGAAAAATTTTTTCCCGAACACACAAACAAAGAAAAAATCAATCTGACCAATGAAATTTTCAATGGACCGCATCTACCGTCGTTCATTGGTGCATCGGTTAGACTACACCCAGACAACAAACAGATGAAAATTATTAGAATCGGGTTCTCAACTCATGCTGATTTCGACTGTGCTATCACAATGCAAATTACCCAATTAGGCAATGAGACCTTCCAACTATTAGTCATTGAAAAATCAGCCAAATTCACCCCTGAATTATCAATCAAAATTACGGAGATTCCAATATCCATATCAGCTCAAAATATCAGATCATCATTCTCCTTTTTTGGGAAGATTACACGTTGTATCATGACCACAAAAAATTTATGGCAACAAGCCACACTCACATTCGAAGAAGGTACTGATATATCACAATTGGACCAAGTGCACGGATATTTTGTGCTCAAAGATATGGTTAGAGTACATCGTTGCACCCTTGAAAATATGGCCATTAGAGAAAAATCAAAATTTTCACTCAAACTTACTAACCTTCCCAAAGACACGAATGGAAGACAATTGATCCCTATTGGCAAAGCCATAAATGCCACAGCATTTGTTATACCAAAATCTAAAGCTACTTACCATAATCTGCAATATGCAGTTTTTTACTTCAAGAATGATGAAGACCGCCAAGCAGCACTGAATGGAGATACCATCTTCTTGGATCGTAAGAGGCTAATTTGGACAGATCCGGCTAGCAAACTTTGCTTTTTATGTTCAGTACCAGGACATCGGTTGGATAACTGTCAGAAAGCAAGACAAACACCCAAAGATAGACAAATGCAAAATCTCTATCAAAGATATCAACCGGCACAATTTAAGAACTATACTGCGCCTAGCAAACCCGTTTCAAAGTTGATCTCGTCACTCACATGACTAATAACAGAAAGGAAAAGTACCAGATACCTCCCAATCACAACCAAAAAAGATTTTGCCACGTCCTCCTATCAATAATAGTAGACACAATGGGGAAAATTCTCTCAATGCAAGCATTCATGTAACGAACGATTGGGCAGATGAATCAGAATACCTCCACCCAAATTCTAAATGTTACACCAAACCCATTAACGATATCAATGACCATGAATAACCTGATAGAATAGACCTTCTAATGACTAAACTAAATGCAGTCTCAACACAATTAGGTCATCTCCATGAAGATCTACAATTTACCAATGAAAGAGTTTCTACTATGGAATCCCTTCTTAAAATATATTCGACTTCTCCAAAACAAGCTGCCATCATCAA